TGAGGTGGCTGAGGCAAAGAGAGGTTAAGTAACTCACCCAAGGTAACATAACTAATAAATTTGGTATAGAAAGGATATTAATGATTCATCATGCATATTATAAAGACTATTAACCTATCCACATGCGTGTTGAAAATGCTTTCCTTGCTTTATCATTTGTCATTTAATTTTTTTGTAATGTTTTTTTGATGGTTGCCCTGTAATTCTTAATAATATGCCTATATCTCCATTTCTTAATTTACCAACTCTATACAGCATCTATTGGTTTCTTACTATTCCAGATGTAGAATTTTAGTTAACTTCTCCCTTCCTTTTCCTCTGCCTTCTTCCACCTAACTGCTACGAGTAATATCAATTTTGGTTGTGAGCACCTTTATAACTTTAAGTAATATACTTCAACCTCTATTTCCTGATTTATCAACTTTAGACAGTATGTCTTAACTAAGTGATTCATTCCTAATGGAGGAAATCACATGTAAAAATGGTTATTCTCTATACTCCTTGGATCATAAAATGCCATATTTATGAAGGTATGCCTCACTAGGAGCAGGTCTATCTTTAGTCATTTTAATAAAAACAGATCTGTATAAGTATAATAACAGATATTGATATAAATGATGAAATAAATTATAAGTATATTTATATAGCATAGACTTCATAGATTATAGAGCTTTTCCAACTACATTGCTTTATTTATTGCTTAGAATTATTTTCTAATGTATATAGAACAACCATTCTTACATTTTATAGATAAGCAAACAAGCATAGAGACTTTATGGCCATGCAAAATTACTATAGCGGTCATCCATGTTTTACTTCGTTGTGTTTCTATCCAGTATCCACTTTTCTCTTATCATGGCAATATTACTTGAGCAATAATTCCACCTTCCCTGAGTCTCAGGTCATGAGCTTCCAAGTGAAGCTGATTTTACCATTGAACTCATGAGCATGTAACTTAGACCTGAGACAATAATTGCAGCACATTCTGCTGGCCACAGTGATTAGTTGTAAGGAGGTCTGAAACTGCATCAGAATCTATAACATGTAGTAAGATTTAGGCTGGGGACAGTGGGACAAAGATTCCTGGTCTACTCCAAAGAGACAGTCCTGGAAAATGCTGGCAGGCATCGTGTGACCAGAAGAGGAAGCTGACCATGAAAAAGTTGAATGAAGAAAGAAAGAGTCCTGCTCATTTCATTGGATTCTTTCCTGAGCCATTTCAATTCCTATTGTTCAGACAAATCAGCTAACACAGAGTCCCTTTTTGTTTACCCTAGTTTGGGTTGGTTTCCTGTCAACTGTAATAATTGCACAGTTAATTAGTGGGAATCTTGACACCAGATCTTTTGACTTCTAATCTAGGCTTCTTTCTAGTCAACCACGCTGCCTCTGAGATTGATGTCTGTGTTCAGGATTGAAAAACATACATCCCTTGAGACCACTTCAATATATCTTTTGTCTTCCTTTATAGCCTATTAAACAACCTTTAGAAATGCAAATCCATCATTGAAATTCATTCCTGAACCAGTATGCATACACATTTGGGCATGACATTCCCTATATACTTGAAATAACAGTATGGGTCAGAGACAGGCTAGTTTCAAAACTTTTATGTTAAATAAAGTGACTTTTATTTTAGGACACACAGTTCTGGATCCTTTTAAACCATGGAGACATGATATAGCACCTCACCTGGTCACCACATTTAATTACCTTAGTTGTCTGAAATTTGGAGCGCATTTCACCTAAGAAATAGTATTATACTTAATCATTTGCTTCTTAGACTAGTAAAGAAAAGCTACTTTAACATGTGGCTAAATACTTAAATACTAGAGCACAGTATTGCCACAATACTAACAATTAGAAATGTAAAATATAAAAACTGAATAGGACGGTTCTTAAGAAAGAAGATCTGCCAGCAGGACGTGGGAAGATAAATGAAAGTGTGGGGTCATTCCAAAGGGGCACTGGAGGCTTGGCCAAGGGCCATAGGTATCCATGATTTGGGGTCTTTATTACAGCGTTCTCCAAACTTTTGGCAACAGGGACCATTTTCATGGAAGACAATTTTTCCATGGACTGGGGAGAGGAGGGATGGCTTCAGGATGATTGAAGAGTATTACATTTATTGTGCACTTTATTTCCATTATTATTATATTATAATATACAATGAAATAATTATACAACTCACCATAGGTTGGGGACCCCTGATTTATTGTACCTAATTTCACACCAAAGTGTGTAACTTTTCTTTCCATGTTATAAGAATAGCTCTATCACTGTTCTTAAACTTCAAACCACACAAAGATGGAACTAAGAAAGGGAAAACACAAAAGAGGTTTTCATTTGTTCTTTGAATCCACATTTCAAGTGCATGGACTCTGCTTTCAAAAGTTACTATCTAGAAAGGCATGGCCAGGCACAGTGGCTCACACCTGTAATCCTAGCACTCTGGGAGGCTGAGATGGGTGGATTGTTTGAGCTGAGGAGTTCGAGACCAGCCTGAGCAAGAACGAGACCCCATCTCTACCAAAAATAGAAAAAATTAACCAGGCATGGTGGTACATGCCTGTAGTCCCAGCAACTCAGGAGGCTGAGGGAGAAAGATTGCTTGAGCCCATGAGTTTGAGGTTGCTGACGCCACAGCACTCTAGCCGAGGCAACAGAGTGAGACTCTGTCTCCAAAGGAAAAAAAAAGGTAAAAATAAAAAATAGAAAGGCAAATATACATGTAAACCCAATGCTCTGCTGGAAGGGAATGGATGAAGGTATGCACAGGGGTAGAAGGGCGCTCAACTTGAGTGCTGGTGACTCCTGGTGGAGGAGGAATTGAAAAGCTCCATTAGGCAGAACCAGAAGCTGGGAGGACAACCCAGGAGGTGTGAACTACATTTGTCCAAAGGCATGGAGGCAACACCCCAGAGAGTTGTCAGAATGCTATACATGATTTAGTGTGAAAAGAAAGAGAAGTGGACAGACAAATGTCTGAGCTTTTAGCCTGAAAGTCATAGAAAACCTTAAAATGATATTTAAATAGGGCTTTCCAAAGGGAACTAGATAGTGGTTGCAAGAGGGAGAGTGGAAAAGAAAAGCAAGAAGAGAATAAGTGAAGAAAAGCAAGTGAGAATAAGTGAAGAGAGCAGCACCAGGAAAATTGTGTGAGAGGGAACAAGTGGTTAGCACCAGACAGCGCTGGTGGACAGTCCAGACCCAGGACATCATAGGTACATGTCACTCAGCAGAGCCCTGGAAGGGGATGGTGGGGTCGAAATGCACCAGGTGTAAGAAAGAGCCTGTAGATTTGAATGTCTGGACTTTTGGAGGTCAGATGTTCTTACTTAGAATTACCTTTATTTTAAATTGGAACTCATTTGGGTCACTCTGTACAATACCAAAATTGCCAAAGCTAGGAGACAAGATTTCAGTTAGAATGGCTAATGTCTCATTTCTAGAAAGGAAGAGATCTCACCATGGCATGAAACACATCTTATTATTAAGACATTATTAAGATATGGGTAGAAGGGTAGGAAAGGCAAGTCTAGTAATAATCATGTAGTGACCTGAGGAAATACTAAATAGACTGTTGCAAATGTTCCCCAGCCTTATGCTCAATGGCCTGAACATTCATCCTTAGAGTCTGCATTTTAATGGAAAACTATAAGAATGGCGGTGCTGAAAGCAGAAAGGCCAAACTTTTCCTGGGTGTAGCTGCACGATTCTTTCCCAAGCTCATTTGTGCTTTAGTGGTTTTGCTTTGCTTGGCCTTTTACAAATTGGCAGCTCAGGAAGTAAAAATGAGGGAATCAGCAGATTTCTTAAAATTTTTACTCCAAATGTTCCTTTAATGCTAGTATTTCTTAGACAGGGATTCCTGATGTCCTAATTAATTGTTCTTGGTGTTTCTTTAAAAGCCTCCTTTAGCTTTTGTGAATCCACCCATGGCTTTTGCTTTTAATTTGCACTCACTGATATTTTCTTTTAATGCAGGAAAGGCACTTCTCCATGGCCAGGTGAAACCTTAGAGTATTCAGAGACTCACACTTGAAAGTTGCTGAATTCAGTGACAACTTTGGGGTGGCAGCCCTAAGAAATGTCAACTGGCAGAAAGAAATGAAAAAGAGTAGTGGAGCTCTGTGGTCTCCCACTCCCTTCTGTGAGATCTGACTTTTTAAAAATCCTTTGTTACTTCACAGTACATTTTCAACTGCATTTGAAGTAATTAACACTCAGAATAGAATCCTTTTGTCACATTTAATTATCAGATATCTACTTTCCTTTGGGATATCTGACAGTTGCCTAAATGTTGGTCTTAATCTAAAACCAAGAAGAGACCTCTGACATAGTCACCAAAGTGGCATTTATTAAATATAAATGGTAAGTGTCTAAAGAAGAGGTGAGAAAAGAGCACTGGCTCTCATCCCAAAAAGAAAATCCTCCTAGCACAAAGGGAAATTACATTAGCTCTTAGCTGAGGCTCCATCAGTTTCATTTGTCATGTGATGATTTAAAGATGTGTACATTCCTGTACAGCATTATATTTGAATTGAGAAATAGAAAGAGTATTCTGACCCTCAAGTTTTAGCTCTAATCTGCCAAACTCACTATAAATACAAGGGTTTCTATGAGTCTATTATCTGGAAAGTGACTTGTATAAGGAAAAAAAATTAAATGATATTGATTTGAAATGAACAAAGCTCATTTATGTGCATTTTAGGAATCCTAAGTGAATCAGCTAAATAAGGAAAAAAAATGTTACCCTCTGGGTAGTATCTTGTAATAAGCTAGAAATGTGAAACCCATTAATAGTATTAGAAATTAGATGCCTAATGAATTGTGCCCATTATTGGAGATTTTCTGTGATAACAATTCTTTAAAAGCTAGATATTGCCTGTATCTACGGCATAAGAGAAACGATACCATTACAGCCATAAGAAATTTATCTCCAAGTGAAAGCATATTTCACATAGTTAAAGAAACATAGACTGAGTTCTGGTACTTACTATGTAAGGACTATGGCCACTGCGTCATTCAGCACACTCTCCCCAAACAAGAGTGTGTACAGGTCAGGGTCGACATGCAGTTCATGGAAAATGGCCAGCACCGTCACTAGGAAGACACACACAGATATGTGGAGTTAGCTGGGACACAGGCATGGAGTTTTTCTTGGTTGCAGTCACCTCTAAAAAATATTCATTGAATGCTGATGTTCTCAATCTATCCTCTATACCAACATCAAAGCTTTATCCAAAAATCTCTGATCATGTCACTCCTCTGCCTAGAGATTTCTTTGGGCTCATCACTGCTTACAGAGGAAATTTGAGCTCATTGGTACAAGTGCTCTGCAACTTGTACCCTGTTTGTATTCCAGCAACATCCCCTTGCACTCCTGGCCTACCCTTTGCTGCCTCCCTCAAACCATACTGAACTTGCCATAATATCCCAAACACACCATGTAGTTTCTTCACTACTTTGCATTTTGATTCCCTCTACCAGGAAAGAAATTCCATTCTTATTCACCTGCTACCATCCCCCCATTCCTTAAATACACACACACACACACACACACACACACACACACACACACACACACTTCTTGTTACCAAAGACCCTTTTTTACAGTCTTTAAGAAACTCTCAAGTGTTCCCCTCCCAACCTTTCAACGTCCTCAGCAGAGATCTGCGTCATTCCTTTATGGATTCCAACATTTGGATGAAATCACAGAACCTATCACAGAAGGGACTGTGAGCTCCCTGGGAATGGGGCCCATCTTTGTAATACATGGTATTTACCAAACTCAACAACAGCTTGACGCATGAATGACTAAGAAAATGAGTGAATGAATAAATGAGGGTTGTTGTAATGGCCTACTCCTCTGAAGGGAGAGGTGGCCACATCTAGCTCTCATTCTATCCTGAGATCACACTCATCTGTAAAGATGGACTTGATGCTCCTAACAGCAGGAGGAGGATTTTTTTCTGGTGGCCTGCTGCAGGGTGACAAGTATGCCATGTACTTGCATTGGGCCTCTGTGAGTAGATCAGGACAGTGAATAATCACACATTATCTGTGCTCATCAAAACTATTCAGTGCCTTGATATTTGACAGTTATGCAAAGTGTGAACAGCAATTATTAGGAAAATGATCCATTGAGTTGATTGCCAAGGGGGAAAGAGAGCAGTTGAAAATTATACTGATGGTAAATTTTTAAGGTAGAATGGGTATTTTAATTCTGTTCTTTCTTTTCTTATTTCACGGACAGTGAGGCTAGTAACCATGTTGTAAGAAAGAGTGCTATGGGGAAAAAAGAAAGAAAAGCAAGTTGAGTTGAAAGTCCTGACAGAAGCTTGTTCTGTAACAATAGGAGGTCAAGGAAGGGTTTTAATAAGGATGATGATGCAGTCTGATTTGAACTTTGGAAACAAAGCTCAGGCCACCGGGCAAACGGCAGAATGGACAGACACGTGGCTGGAGGCTTTCCCACTAATTCCAGCAAGAGACGGGTTGTAAGGACAGGGAGAGGCCAGGACTCAGGCCTTCAGACTCCTGCGTATCCTGTTCTGCCCTACACATCCACTGCCCGGGGTTCTGGTAGACCAGTGGCCACAGGGCTTTGCACCCACTAGCTGCAGCACAGTGCTGCCGCATAGTTAATGTTGAGGAGGACAGAGCAGGAGAGACAGCACCCTCAAGCTATCTGGGGTGGAGAATTGGTGGGTCTTGGTGCTTAAGAGACAGCAAGGAAGGACTCTGGATTTCCATCTGTTGTATGGCATGTCACCATGTTTAATAACAATGTATAAAAAAAACCAATGTATCATATACTTGAAAATTACTGAGAGGGTAGATTTTAAATGTTCTCATTACAAATAAATGATAAGTATATGGGGTAATGCATATGTTAATTAGCTTAATTTAGCTATTCTGCAAGGTATACATATTTCAAAACATCATGTTGTACACCATAAATATATATACACAATTTTTGTTTGTTAATAAAATAAATATTTTTTTAAAAAGAAGCTTTTGCAAGAATCCAACAAAAAAAAGAAATGAAGAAATGAAATGTTATCAGTTGACATGACAATTGGCCAGATCTCACTATGCCAGGCACAGTATCAATTTCATCATTCTAGCTAAATAGGTCCTACACTGATCATAATAGGTGAAATGGCAGAGATCTGCTCTCTGCGTGCATGTAGCTATTCACATCTGCCACATCCTTAGCCTTTGCAGGTGCTGGGAGCGGGGTGAACAAGCACATCTGCTAAGTAATCTCTTTCTCCTTTTTGAATAGAGTCAAGACCTTGCATCTAAACAAAACAAAGAAGTTTCAACTGTGGAGTTTAGTTAACAACATTTTCCTTTTGCATGGATCTTGTGGAATAAAACTATTCTTTACCAAAAAATTCTATCATGGCAGCTCTATTGATGTTTATCTCTGTAGCTGCTATTTGTATTGTCGACCTCTGAAAATGCCTTGCATCTCATCTCCACTCCTGGGATTTCCTAGGCTCACACATAGAATGGAAGGCCCTGGGTTCCTTTCCACATCTAGGGAGTCCACTCTGCCCTTGGTATCTTTCCAACAAGAACTTGGAGCCTTTGAGAGGAAAGGCTTTTAATTGAATATCCAGTTTTGTTCAAAACTGCTCTGACATTCCCACGATTCCTTTTGAACAAAGAACTGAACTCCATTTCATAAATGATATCCCACACAAAAGAGAAAGCTATTACTTTGTGCATTCCTATCTACTCTGTGAAGAAATGGAACAGCTTTGAAATAAAGCCAGGCAGTGTGTCCTACAAAGGCAGTATTTTGCCGGGACCACAAATGAGTCGAATAGGTGAGTCAGGAAATTAGCCACCCACTCTGCTGCTGAGCTTGGAGCTTTTAAAAAACTCATTTAATTAGCTCACTGGTAAGGCTCAATCTTACACACAGAATGTCCAAGACTCTCTGCAGCACCTGCCAGGAGAGAGTCTTTGGGAAGGCGGAGGACATGAACCAGCACTGCTCACACCTTGCTACCGTATTTCCCCGAAAATAAGACCTACCCATAAAATAAGCCCTAGCAGGGTTTCTAAGCATTTGGGCAATATAAGCCCTACCCTGAAAATAAGACCTAGTGATGGGCGTGGCTATGCAGCGTATCTGCACAAGCCATGCATTTCATTGAGGAGCGGTAAAGAAGATGAGCAGCCCTTCTCATCTGCCCCATGGTGACAGCTACTATCCCAGAGGTGACTGGAAAGGTGCGGGCAGCCCCATCAACAAGGTCGGCTCCCCTTGTCAGGTTCCGGCCATCCTATGTGTGCTGCAAGCTGAGGCTTTGAGGGGAAAACAACACATCCCCTGAAAATAAGCCCTAGGGTGTCTTCTTGAGGAAAACTAAATATAAGACCCTCTCTTATTTTCGGGGAAACACGGTAGGTTTGAAAGGACAACCCCAGCCTGAGGCTGGGTGGGCCTAAAGGCAGCACCCATTTAGACGAATCTTCTTGGGACCACATGAAAAGAACATTCTAGACACTATGTGGATAGGAAAGGTAGAAGACACAATCTGATTTCTTAAACTTGTGATATTTATCAGAGGAGTTAGTTATTTTTGCCTTTATCCTACTTTAGTTCCATTCATCCTTTAGTAGCAGGTTTTTGTACTTCACTTGAGGCTTGCAGTTCCTTCTCTTCTACACACCCTCTTCCTACCTGATGTCTTAACCAGAGAAAAGTCCACTTTGTCACTCAAATTGGTAATAAGGGATACAAACACATATGATTTTATAGTCAAATAGATGAACACACGCGTGCGCACACACACCTGTCTCTAAGGGTCAGGGTAGTGTAGGAGTATGATAACTGAGAAAGGCCACTGATTCCTCAGGTGTCTTTGAGGAAGTAGTTTCAGCAGTTTAAATAGCAAGGGGCTATGTGGGGAATGAGTGGGGAGTCAGCGGTGTGTGCTGCACTTCAGGGATGGAGAGAGAAAAAGCCTTAGCCTATGAGGTAGAAAGCCAAGAGAAGGTTTTTCTTAGACTTCTGATTTACAGGTTGAGCAGAATAAGCCAGAGGAAAGAGAGGTTGAAGACAGACAAAAAGGAAGAGAACACTGCCAGAGCAAGGTCTGGAGAAGGCAGAGGACAACTGAGGGGCAATAGGGGAGCGTGCTTTCTCAGCAAAGCAAGATCATCTGCCGAGAGTCAGGGAAACCAGGCCCCAGGTAGAGGTTAGAGGGAGGTAGGAAACGTGCAGATCATAGATCATCTGCGGGTAGGGATGGGGGATGAATTCAAGTTTCACAATGAATTGTTAAGGTCAAATATAGGATAATTGTCAGTCTGCAAAAGAAAACCCCTAACACTAACATAGTATATTTTCATTAATTTCTTCATCATATCAAGAATCTTGTCCCTCTTACTACAACCCTGTTATAACATCAAAAGTAATCTTTTCTCATCTCGAAAATAATAACGATAGCTGGAGATTAAGAAAAACAAAAAAACCCAAAACAGATGATGATTGCCTGACCCCATCAATATTTCAATGTCATTACTCTTAAAAGATGTTTTCCTTTTTTTAAAAACTGTCATCTCTTCAACCGACCACTTTCCTGATTCTTTTTCAGTAATTTCTAAGCCTTGACTTAGTGACAGACCCTTCCCTAGAATCTTCATTGGCAGCTCTCTGACCCATATTTTCTTAGTGTTTTATAAGGAATTTAAATTTCAAATGATATTTTTAAAGCTGGCAGCTCTCAATAACCGAGCATACAAGGTGCCTGGGTCAAAGGACAACAAAATACAATAGTTCCTACCCCTGTCATTCTGAGTTGTCACTCAGCCTTGTCAAGTGCTGGCTTTCCTAGAGAGTATTCTCTGTGGTTTCCTGGGCAAATCAGTATGTATGGTACTAGTCCATGACATATGGAGAATCAAAAATGTCCCAGGCACCTGCATCTGAGTCCATGTCAGGCCTGACAGGTGGAGAACCTTGTTATTCTCATAAATGAGGTAGCATTTTTCCATTTCAAAAAGATCATTATTGTGAAATGTATCTTCTTTTTCTCAAAGGGAGAATGGATGAAGAAATTCTCCTGTAACATTTCCAC